CCCCCCGCCGAGACCGGGGCGCCGTCGTCCGCGCGCCGCAAAGCGTGAGAGGCAGACGGGGCACCCAGGCGTGGGGCGTCCCGGGCTTCACTCCCGATCCCGTCCGCAAGTTTCTCTTCCCAGATTCGGGGCAGGCACTTCCCGGAGCCGGACTCGCTTCTGCTTTCTCAGGCCGCGCGGCGGGGGAGGGGCGGCTGGGCTCCCCGCTCCTCCCCTCCCGGACCCCTGAGGTCCGGGTGTTCACCCCCACACCCCGGGCTGCGCGCGGGTCCCTGCCTCCCCCCTCTGCCGTCGTGGCATTTCGAGATCCAGACGCAGGGGCCCAGCGGTTCCAGACCTTTAAGTCCTGTGCTCCCCAAAGCCAAGCTCGAGCGCCTGCTCCGCGCGGGGCGCGGGGCCAGCGGAACCCCCCTCCTGCTCGGATTTCAGGCAGGTGCAGAGGGTGCCCGGGGAGGGGCCTTCCTGGAGAGGGCGGGTGCGAACGGCCGAGTCTCCGGGGCGGCGAGGGGTCGCCATCTGTGTTTCAGACAAAACAAAACGGCGCCAGGGCGAGCGTGGAGATGCGGCTGCCCACGCGCCGCCACGGCTCTGCTGGGGCTGCTGTGACCAAGCGCCGGCCCGCGGTGCGGAGGGTGTTCTTGCAGGTTCTGGGAGCTGCGGGCCGAGTGGAGGTGCTGGCCGGGCTGGTCTCTCCCAGCACGAGCACGCTCCTGGGGTGCGCACCGCCGCCTCCTCCGCGGTGGCCAGTCGGCGCCCACACCCGGTCCCTTCCTCCTCTACGGGACGCCAGCCCTTGCGCCCACCCTAACTGGATCGCCCTCTGCAGGCCCGGTCACAAGCACGGTCACGCCGAGACACCTGGTGGCTTCAGCATGTGGAGTCGGGGAGGAGACACAATTCAGTCCGTCACAGACCGCCCCCCACCCCGTTGGCTATCAGACCGGCCTGAGTAAAGTCTGAGGGGCGGGGGACTAGCCAGCTGTGTCCTGGAAGACATGCGTGCTCTGCCAGGAGCGGTTTTGTGGCTGTCCCCTGGCAGAGCCACCCGCGCTACACCTGATCCAGAGGTGGAGACAGATGAGGCCACAGCACCCGCGAGGACAAGGCTGCCCGCAGTGGGCAGGGCCGGCTTCCCAGCAGGCCTGGAGTGGCTTGAGAGAGGAGGGGCTTTTACTCTGGGGAGAGGGCGAGGCCGGGCTCCCTACTGGCGGCAGAGAAAAGGGCATCAGGCCTCAGGGGCACCCCGGGAAGGGGCATGAGGCTGTCGAGCTGACTGTGGTCCAGGCACACTTGGAGTCAGCTCTCACTGCGGCAGATTTAAACCCATGCCTTTGGCTGCAAGTGGTGGTTAAGGCACTCACGCCCACAAGGCTGATTCTGGTTGGAGTCCTGGATGTGGCACTTGCTTTCTCACTTCCTCCTTCTCTCTCTCTCTGGTCAAATTAAATAATAGTTAAATAATAAAATATTTTAAGTATTTGCATATGGCTTAATGGTTATGTGCTGAACTCCCACATAGTCCACTGTGTTTCAAGTACCAGACCTGTGGTTTAAAATTCATACCAGTTTGGGACCAGCAGTTGGCGTAATGGCTAAGTCGCTGGACTCCAGTGTAGTTGACCACAGTTCAAGTCCTGCTCCTGGTGGCTTAAACTCACGCCGGGCGCATGTGCGTGCGTGCCCAATATCCCGAGAAGAGAATGGAGAAGGGATTGCACACACACACACAAAAAAGTTTATTTCCAGTAAATAAATAAATAATTCTTTAAAAAAACAAAAACAAAACAACAAAACCCTCGCATTGGAGACCAGTTTGGCAACACTGAGAAAAGCTGAAGTGGCTAACCTCTAGCAGAGGAACAGAGGGCTGGGAACAGAGGGCTGGGGTGGAATCCAGTCCTTTCTCCTTGAGCCTGGCCCGGCCTCAGTGCTGTGGAAGTGACGGGGGCTGGGCCTTACAAAGCCTTGCGGTTTCTGCCTTCGTCTCTCAGGACTTCGCTTTCCCGGAAGTCAGCTGCGGCATAGGAAGCCTGGGGCAGCCCTTGGCGACCATGTCCAGGCTGTCCACAGCAGAGGCTGCAAGGAGAGCGATGCTGCCATCCTCCCATCCAGCCAGGGCACCAGTGCTGGGAACGAACAAGCCTCTGTGGACTTCAGCCCCGGCCCCTTCGCCTACAACTGCCTGAAATCCCAGCAACAGGATCTGTCAGCAAAGAGATATGGGACCAGGAGTAGTGTGGTGATTAGGAGCACTGGACTCCCACATGGCCAACCACAGTTCGAATCCCAGACCTGGTGGCTTGCTTTCTCACTTTCTTTCTCTTTCTCTCTCTATCCCTCTCTGGTCAAATTGCAAAATAAGTAAATACATAAATAAAGGTCAAAAAGAAAAGGGAATACAGAGGCCAGTAGGTGGCATAGCGGTTAAGGCACTGGACTCCCACGTGGCCTACGAGTTTGAGTCCTGGACCTGGTGGCTTGAAATGCATGCCAGGTAACTGCATGCATGCTCAAAACCCCAAGAAGAGAATAGCGGAAGAGGGATTGTGGCATGGTCATCACCCTCAGGGGAGTGATTTCTCACTTTTTGTCTCTCTAGCTCTGTCTCTCTGGCAAGCACACATGCCCTACAGCAAAAACCTCTCAAGAAAGGAGGGATGGGAACAGCAGGCTGCAGTCTCAGCCTCCAAGTTGTGGGTGGTTATGATGCAGCAGGAGGTCACTGGACACCCTCTGCCTACTGACCACTTCTGGAACTCCCAGCCATGTGTCCACAGAGGTTGGTGTGCAAGGATGTTCATGAACATGTGCTTCATAACGTGGGAAAAGTGCCCAGTGACTGAATGCTCATTGACAGGAGAAGGGAGAAATGAGCTAGCACATGAGTGCGGGACGGGGTACCGCATCACGGTTCATGTGCTCAAACTACATCCCAATACGTCACCTGGGTAAGTCTCAGAACTCTCTTAGAAAACAATTGCACCAGGACCAGCAGATGGCGTAATAGTTACGTTGTTGGACTCCCACGCAGCCAACTGTAGTTGGAATCCCAGACATGGTGGCTTGAAATTCATGCCAGGTACGAGTGTGTGCATACTCAAGATCCCAGGAGACAGATGGAGGAGAAAGGATTGCAGTGTGGCCATCCCCGTAGGGGATGATTTCTCACTTTCTCTTTCACTGTCTCAGTCTCTTTCTCTCTCTCTCTTGTGAACGCATGTATGCTAAAGCAAACTTGGAAAAAAAAAAAAAAAGAAAGAAAAGACAAGGGGCCAGCACGTGGCCTGGTGGTTGAAGTGCTGGACATACCCATGTGGCTGACCACAGTTCGAGTCCTGGACCTGGTGACTTGTGTTCTCACTTTCCCTCTCTCTGTGTGTGTCTCTCTCTGTTCAAATTAAAATAAATGAATGAATAAATGAAATTAAAATAAATAATTCTTTTTTTAAAGAGGTTTTTGCTATAGGGTGTGTGTGCTCACTGGAAAGACAGAGAGACGCAGAGAGATGGAAAGGCAAAAATCATCCCCTGGGTGGGATGGCCACACTGCAATCCCTTCTCCTCCATTCTCCTCTCAGGATCTTGGGCATGCATGTACATGCTCCTGGTAAAAGCTTTTTCTTTAAAGAATTATTTAATTTTATTTATTCATTCAGTTATTTTAATTTGACCAGAGAGAGACACACACAGAGAGAGGGAAAGTGAGAAAGCAAGCCACCAGGTAAGTACCCAAACCATGGTTGGCCATGTGGGAGTCCAGCACCTCAACTACCATGCTGCCTGCTGGCCCCGAGCCCAGTATAAGTTTTAAGCTGCCAGATCTGGGACTCAAACCATGGACAACTACGTGGAAGTCTAGAGACGTAACCACTATGCCATCCACTGGCCCCAAAATATGTCAATGGTTATGAGAATGATGAAATAAGGGATTT